GACGGCTTTCAGCCTCACCCTGCTTCATTCTACTACGTTAATAAATCATTAGCTCATCCATGAACATGATTTCTGCCCGAGTCCCGTCGGATTGCATCGGCTGTGGGGATGAAGAACTCCCATGATTCCACACTCAGTCATGGCATCATCAAACTACGCCTTTGTTTCTTTGTTTGTTTCGAATAGGCGCCCTCTAGCGGCGAAAAATTACATATTGTGCCTTTAAGTATATCTAAAACAATAATACTAAACAATAAGATGGCAATATATTCATTATTTGTCAAATACTACTGACAAAACAAAATGTGTATCTTTAGATTTACTAAAAATAAAAACAATTTTATTAGAGTCAATAATTCGGGTATCAGAGTGTACTGGCTAAATGCGTTTGATTCACTATTGAAGAACTGACACATTTGAGCCGTTTATTCAGGAATTGGACTTTGCTGGCAGCACTGTATGTGTTGTATTCACTGAAAAGAACCAGTTCATTACAGTCATTCATTCGGGAATCAGACTTCACTGGTTTAGTTGACTGTTTTTGATTAACTAAAAAGAACTAACTAATTAAAGTCAATTAGTAAAATTTTACTGCACTGTAAACACTATCAGGAAACTCTTTCAGGCTACTTTAATACGGTACTCTGTCCACGTTTGGGTTTCTGTCCTTGCTGACAGTAATACGATGTGTTTGTGCCAATTAATTGTGCCAGTCTGTCATGATTTAGTTTGATCTTATTGCACAAATACAGTGGTGATTAGTACCTCCAGTTAGGGGTAGTTTTGTGTGAAATGTTATCTGATTTTTTTCTCTTTTTGCAGGAGCTTCAGAATTTTGAACAGTTCATCTTTGCTGATTACACAAACTTCGTTCAAGTGGAGAATGTCTATGAGAACATACTGCTCAACCTTTTGAATAATGAAGTGAACAAAGGTACAGTAAACAGTTTTAGCTGTTTGTTTTGAGTGTTTGTGACATATGGATTACTTCAAAACATCAACATATTCGTCAATATTTTTGCTGTACAGTGGTGAAGGAGGCAGCCAGTCTGAAGAAAAACAACCTGTTTGCTGACAGTACTGACCTGCAATGTGTTAGTCAAAGCAGCCTGGCTGACAGCCGCACGCCGCCCCTCTCTGCCCCCTCCAGCCCACCACAAAGACCGGCCTCTGTGGCTCTCTCTCAACAAGCTGAGCAGAAGATCACCTCTCCATCAGGAGGATCCGTCAGTGAAGCCACCCAGCAGACACATGCTGCTTCAGTCATTCCTACAGTGAAGATTACAGTGCCTTCTCCAGAATCTGTGGAACCTACATCACCATTACATGTTTCTGAAACAACTCAACCAGACGTTCCACCAACATCCCCTAATCATTCATCACCCATTCCAGAGGTCTCAGAGACGGACGTTTCCTCAACCAAACCAGAAACCATCTCATCTGCAGAAGATTCATCTTCTTCACGACCAGACACACCTTCTTCTAAAGCGAAGGATGAAGATACAGAGGGATGTTCGGTTAGTACAGACCGAGCAGTCTATCTCAACTCAACAGCTGAAGAAACTCCTGTTCCTCTCGTTATCGCCTCTGAAAATCTAAATGTGGAAGCAGATGAAGAAAGTGAAGGTGCAAGTCCTCCTAAGTCTGAAGTCAAAGAGGAACGTGTCCATATTGTCCAACCTGACGTTAACCTGACAATCAACAGTGAAGTTCTCCCAGACGTATGTGTTGAAGACACTGCTGTGGATGCCAGTGTTGTGGTGGATAACAAGGCGTGTGAGGCAGCGCCTTCTAGTGATGAGAATAGAAATGAAACACAAGATAGTCCTTCTCCTCCTCTTGACTCAGTTCCTGGTGGTCCTGTAGGGGGCGCTGTTGCTTTAACATCAGAGCTGGAGAAGCACAGCGGCGCTGTGAGCACGGATTCACCGGAGGACACCGCGGACAGTGTGCAGGATATCCGAAATCTCATCATGGAGGTCATCGAGGTAGAGGACGTAGTGAGACCTTGTGCTGAAAACCAGCCTTAAAAAGGTTTGAATGATGTTTTGATGTGTTTTTATCAACTATCCAGCTCTGCTAACAAAACCAAGTAGTGTTTCCATGTGATATTTTCTATTTTTTAGTTGCATCATTTCATACACATTTACTATTTTTAATAATAATCAAATTGTTGACATTGTTTTTAATTTTTTTAAATACTTTGACTCTGACTAAAAAACCAAGTGCCTATGTAAACAGAATTCAGTCTTTTTGTAACACTTCCTCTTGTATCATATTAACAAAAAAAAAACGATATACATACACATATATATTGAGATGGCTTTGTACTTGCAGTTTTTGTTCTTTTTCAATACTTACATTTAATGGTGAAACTTTTTTTTTTTTTTTTTAATGTTCAGAAAATTGAATGACAAAAAAATAGAAACTCTACATTTCTAGATGGTACACAATTTTTGGTAGACTGACTAATTTATTAATGTATTGTACTGGTCTGTACAGACAACTTATTCTTTATAGTAAATAACAGGAGATTGTGCTGATCACTAAACAATTATTTTGCACCATGCTGTAGATTTTCTGAACATGAGACACAGTACCTTTGTACATATGATTATAACAGTGAGAGTGTTAAATAAATTTACAAAAAACAGAGACAGTTCATCAGTGCATTGTTTTAATTCTTCTGTTTGCAGTTAAGGTCAATTCACATGAATCCGTCAAACTCACAGGATCTTGATAGCAGCAAAGGCCAAGATGTTAGGAGGCACATTTTGTGTCTGGAAATACAGAGCTGTCCTGAATTCATTGAGATAAATTAAAATTAATTTACAGTGCTCTAAAATAAGACTTAAAAATGAACAGACACGCGCTACATCTCAATCAGAAACATATAATCCCCAAGTTCAAACAATATCATAAAATTGCACCAGAGGCAGCATTTAGCACCTTACTTAAAAGCGTTATAAGACTCAAACAATTTTCACAGCAATGAACCCTGGACATTATTAGGTCGTTAATTCATAAATATCTCTCAGAGGAATAATGTCTACTTACATAAGCTAACACACACAGCGTAGTTTTGTTATACATGACAATTAGTGCAAGATATTTTGAATAAAGTGAGTGATGCTACACCATCATGAAGCTGTTAATGCAGTTTATCCATTTATGCGGTCAACTCTGGTTAATGAGAACAGGATAAATCGGTCAGTAACATTTTAGCTGATTATTATTTAGTGAATATGAAGATGAGAACATAGTCATTCGTGTTCAGTGAATATACTTTATACTATTAAAGTGCACTCCCTAAAACCTAAGAAAGGGTGTAAAAAATAAATAAAGACTATTTTGAAAACTAAAATCTAACTCTAGTCATTAGTAACTAAGGTGGAAGCATGAAGCAAATTAAATTGTACTCTGTATGTCTCTAAGATCGTAAGATCAAGAAGTCTTCAAACCAAATGAAGCCAACTGAACAACAGCACTTCATAATATCCTTCATAAATAATAATGCATTATATAAGATAATGTAATGTACACAGATAATCTGTTAAGCATGATAACATTATGTAATGCTTAAAGGATTATTTGTGTACATTCAAACAGTAAGAAAACTCAATTTATAAACATTTGAATATAAAATAGCATTTCGCATTCATATTTGAATGTACATGAACTACTGACCTTTTTATTAATGAATAATTAAAAGTTATTATGAAGCATCACCAAGCATTTTACTGGGGTCTCGCTATTAATCCTGCCTTTAAATCCAAGGGTGGGCCCACATTTTCTGGAAGAGATTGGTTGGTTTGAAACGTTTGAGTTTTGTAGGAGAAAAAAAGTTGTCTTGTAGTGAACGGTAAGATGCAGCAGCTCTATCTGGTGGAGCCGTAGCCGTGGAAGAAAGGCTCATCAGGTCGAAAGCCGTAGGCAGTGGCAGGACGTCCGTCGGCTCCATTGCTGAGGAAAGAGATGTGAATCAAGTGAGCATAAACTGTTACTGTTAACATGTTTCCTCTAAGAGGCACTAGATGGCCTTCTTCCATACATATTATCAGGAGAGATGGCAGAAACATCATTCAGCTTTTATATTTTGTATTGTCATGTGCTGCCAACTAGACATTAATTCATCAAGGCCTGGTTTCACAGACAGGGCTTAGGTTAAGCCAGGATCAGGCCATAGTTCAATTAGGACATTTAAGTATTTTTTATAAACGTGCCTTAGAAAATAACATTACTCGTGTGCATCTTGAGACGAAACAACGGCACAAACTTATTTTAAGATATGTCAGTGCAAGTTTCTTTCAGGTAAGACAGCCCAGACATGCATTTTAGTCTGGGACTAGGCTTAAGCCTCGTCTGTGAAACTGGGGGCAAGTGTTTTTGGCTTGAACATTGTAAATTTGCCTATATAACTTACATAATATAATTTATATTAACTATATATATATAACTTTTTGAGTTTGAAGCATCAGGCAGAGTAAATTGACAATGTGAGAATAATTTGAGAATAAATTGGGCCACACATTTTGTACTATATGCCATAGTTTTCCAGCAAAATATATGAATGTGTACTGTATTTGGAATAACAGCAGTGTGATTTATTCAGCTCTTACATTTCTGATGAACTATTATTCCTGAAAACATTTTTGGGGAGATAAAAAAGTAATATTCTCACATATACAGATATGTTATTAAATATAAATAATAAAACATCAATTTTTGTGGTAGTGGTTCAAGCACACTGACTGGATACATTTCATAACCTGACACCAATTACGATTAGTTGTTAGAATTACATTAAATAAGAAGTGAACACAGAATATAAAAAATGAATGCACTAACAATATACTTGAACAAGAACAAGATGAATCAACAAACAAAACCGAGACGGACTCAACAATAAAAACAGCCAGAGACATAAAAAAAGAACAAATCCAATATAAGAGTATAAAATAAAAACGTCAAGCTTCCTTAAAAACATTTACCTGCTGTCCAAGATACCACAGTATAGTATGTGCCACATATTGTCCCATGTAATGCTAAAATTTTAATTCAGTGACCAGTGTAAGCTTTTAACATACTGCATGCTGTTGGCCATTGGCAGGGTGCAATACAGACTGTGACATACAAAATATATTCATGTAAATCTGATGAGTCTAAGATTTAACGAAATCAACAGTGATGTTTCATTTTTCAGTGTTCTCAGTGTGCAGAACTGAGAGTTAAAACACATTCCTATCCTGCTTGCACCTCGACAAGCATTTTACACTCATTCAGGATGCACAGAGCCAAAAAAGTTCAGTAGTTTTTAGAAAAAAACTGGCCGTCGCCTCTGTCTGCCTCTCTCTAAACCAACAGGTTCAAGCCTACATCCTTTAAATTATGAGCTGTTTGCTTTGCCCCTATGTGCCCACATTACATTGTGTTGTTTTTAGCCTCATGACCTCCAGTAATCAAACACAGCTCCTCTTAGCATCCCGACTCACACACTCTCTGCTGTCTAAAATATGTCGTTTTCCTATTGGCCTGCCAGATCTGTCAGGCTGAATTTGAACAGCGGGTAAGAGGGATTCATGTGCGGGTCAGCGCCACCTGTAGGTGCTCTAAGCCTCTGTTTTTGACTAAATTTTACCTCCGCACTTGGCCTTTCCTTGAAAGCAAGTTCTTTAGAAAGAAATACAGGCTTCCAGAGTTCAGGATAATCATCTACAGAGGGAGAGCTTTTATTGTGCTGAGAATTTATAGCTGTGAGTTATCAGAGTTTCAACTTGGTATCATCACGTCATTAATTACAGGATGATATTAACGCCCGAAAATGAACTCGGTCTGATATGAAAATGAGTATTAATGTGAATATATTCTACGATTTATGGCCTGTGATTCGTAGCGAGCACATTCCTGTCCAATTATGAGGCAGCCTGTCACCTCTTCCTGCACGGGGCTTCAAAACAGGGCAATAAAAACTGAGTGGGGATGGGATTGACAGCTCATAGGGAGCCAGGTCAGCCCTGACGTTCTGGGAGGGGAAACGGCCAAAGGTGCCCATAAAAAAAAAAAGACCCTTTTAACCAGACATTGTTTCATAGCTCAGAAGAGTGTGTTTGTTCAGGAAACGGGCCTCGGCTCTTTTATAAAAGGACGTTTCTCCTCCTTTTTTCCCCCCCCAAGTTGTTCTCCAGCCTGTGCTTTGATCTCCCGTTCCTGTCACTTCTCCGTTTGCATGCCCTACCTTGGCTGTGTCAAATCAACAGCACCCCCCTTTTCCCCTTTCCTTTGCCTGATTGCGTGTCCACATCCCTTTTTTTTTATTTTCCTCCTGGGTTCTCGTCCAAGGCTTTAGGGACACGCAGTGTGCCACACGGCTTGAATAAAGGTGGATTTGTCAGTCTGATGCGTGCACACAAAAGACACGCACAGAGAACTGGTTTTCCTCGGGGACATCAGAAGCCCATCTGCAGACAGAGTGGCCTGTTTTAGCTTGATCCAGCACCTCATCTGTCTTCATTCTCGATCTCTAGGGGTGGGAATCAACAGGGTTCTGGTGATTATTATAAGGATATCTAGGACACAGTATGATAAAACTGTGTATAATTATTCAAAACTGTCATATTTGTGAGCTTTTACTCGTTTGTTTCTCTTTCGTCTGAACTGGATTTTGGCATTTTGAACAATCAGCAAATGTACAAAAAAAAAAAAAAAAAAACACTCTATACTATGTATACATTATTCACATTAATGCATTATTTGTGTTTTTATCCAAAGTGGTGTCACTTTTGCCTTGAAAATGTTTTTTATGAAATGTTACATTTTAAAATACATGTTTTCTATTTTAAAATTGGTCATTTATTCCTGTGATGGCAAAGCTGAATTTTCAGCATCATTACTCCAGTCTTCAGTGTCACATGATCCTTCAGAAATCATTCATAATATGCTGATTTTGCGCTCAAGAGACATTTCTTACTATCAATGTTGAAAACAGTTGTGCTGCTTAATATATTTGTGGAAAACATTATATATATATATTTTTTAGAATTCTTTGATAACTACAAAGTTTAAAATAAGCAATTATTTGAAATATAAATCTTTTTATAGACACTTATTCTCAATTTAATGTGTCCTTTATGAAAAAAAAAGTATTATTTTCTTAAAAATCTAAATCTTACTGAAACACAATTACACATAAATTCTGCCATACTAAGAATGCAAATGATTTTAGTTAAGCAATCTGGGTTTTATTTATATATACATTTAATATATATATTACTGATATACCACGCAACCCTACATGGGAATCCTGACGGACCACTTGAATTAATCAAATACCTGTCTCTCAGGTTGGACGTGAAGTAAACCACTCCAAAAGGCCTGTGTTCACACACATCGTTTCACAAGCGTCTTAAGTAAAGGCTGAAACTCTATTTGATTATTATTGTAACCTCTGTCACTCAGAGCTGCCCACTCAAATTAAACCATTCATCCCAGGACCCTAATGTTGCCCCCCAACCCTCAGTGTATATTTGAAATGTATCGCTTTACAAAGAGCTGCTGGAGAGCTCGCCTCTCCATCTGGATCCCTGCTTCTCTCCTCACCCACATGACAGCCCGGCGGCACTCAGCGCCCCAGCCGTCAGTCTGCAAAGTGCCCAAATCCCCACCCAGCCAAAACAAACAGGCCAACGAGCAGCGCATTCTCCATACAAAGCACACAGTGCATAATAAACATGTCCAGTGAAATAGATGGCATGAAGTATGCACTATCAGGGCAAGTTTAGACTACAAGTGTAGGTATGTACTATCAGAGCTGCATATCGAACACAAGTGGGAGATCCATTTCCTCACAGATCAACTCTGGCAGGCTGAGAGAGTCAACGTGAGCACTGGATCGGATGGAGAGGTGAAATGTTATTTCATCTGTACTCGTGTGTGTGTGTGTGTTTGTAGAGGAATGTGGACAATATATTTGGCTACATAGGACTTAAAAGGCATGTTTATTATTGGGCCAAAAGAGTGTCGTTGACAGAGAGTAAGAAAACGTCAGAGTAGAGAGCCTGGTGCTTTGTTGAACAGCTGTGATCATACTATCCAAATGATTAAAAGAAAAGTACAAAAGCTAAAATTGTTTAATGTAGAAGATTTGCTGTTTTATGAAGACCTAAAAACCAAACTGATGGGAGAAAACAGGTACAGTAAACAATGGCCTGATGGTCTGGGGACAGTGCGACAAACAGATTGTTACTTGCTGTTTTCAATGTACTACATGTGTTGTGTTATGCCTTTCAAACTGTATGGCTATTTGTGATGCATTAAAGACTGTTGTTGAATTACACTGATATATGTTCATCACTGATGTAATATTATCTGTACTGTAGATGGCTTACATTAGGATGACTTGTAAGAGTGCTGGAAGCATCAGTTAGAACTGGATCAATATTACCGGTATGAACACAGCTGTGTTTCATATGCCAGTGTTTTCTAGCAAAAGTGCTATTATTGAGGTTTCTTTTTAAAAAAACAAAAAACAAAAACCTTTAACAAAAGATATGATATATTTTAGGGGTGCTCCGATTGATCGGCTACCGATAACTATCGGCCGATAATCACGTTGGGATGATTGATCGGCGGTCTCTAAAAGGCCGATCTCAAAAAACCGATCTCAAGCTGATGACGCTGCCGTGAGAGGTTTGGCACGACATGCAGCGGCACCGTCTCAGTCTCTGTTATAATGCTGAAGGTGAGGTACTCACCTTCATATTTCTTCATTAAATAACTTATAAAGTAATTTGAAAACCTTGTGTGAGACGTAATTTCACAAACAGCGTGAGTGAATCACCGCGCGCGCTCTCTCTTTCTCTCTTAAAATACGCAATTGGCTTCAAATCACCACACATCGCGTCTGTCTATAAGCGAGCTAGTTGACACAGGAATTGTCACTTGCACAGTCGAGGCAGTGTCACGTCGTCAAGTTTATAAATTGCTTTTCTTTTTAATTCTTGCCAGTGTTTAACCATTCAGCGCTCGCGCGCTCTCCTGGAGACTGAGCGCTCATGCACACTCGCAGCGCACACACATAATGCCAAGTTCACACACACTCCGTTTGCAGTGCGCGCATGTTAACGGATTAATAAAGCGTGCACACTGCACACGGTTACGGTCTGGCAGTGCGATCCAGTAGCGGCGCGGTGCAGATATCGTTTCCGCACCAAATCTATCTCAAAAAGTGTACTTAAGTACAATACTCAAGTAAATGTACTTAGTTACTGTCCGCCTCTGGCAATAAGAGATGGCACTAGTGGAGGTAGTTCTTTATGAAACAAAGTTCTTTATGAACCGCAGGATTGGTTGTAATAAAGATTTCAATGCAAAAGAAAAGGCAGTAGAGCTGACTATTTCTGTCAATGGTAAGTTTGTGATAACGTAAGAAAAGTAGTTTAAATGTTTTGCCAATTGCTTGAGCAACTTAATATATAAATCTAGAAGTAAATGCAAAAGTAAAAAGCATTGAATAACGTGTTGCTTATATTTATTGAGTTTAAACATGT